CTTCTCCTCTTCTTGAGCATCAAGTGGAGGGAGAGGAAGGGAGAAGGAGCACAGTTATGGAGACCTGCAGCAGCTGCCTGCTCCTCCGGGTCTGGTTGAGAGGAGAGGAGCCTGGCAGAACTCATTTGGCTCTCAGACTGTGTGAGCTGTGCATGTGCACCAAAGAAAGTCTTTCTCCAAGGTATGTTGCCTTCTTACGATGTAAGCATGGCCTAATCTGAGTCCCATTAACACTAAACAGAATGCATACAAGCAATTTTTACGGGTATAACTATACCTTTGTCTCTCCACCAGTCTAAAACAGAAAATGAAGCAACAGCAATAACTGACATAAATCCAAGTTATTCTTTTGCACAAAATAGAAAAGCTTATGTTGTACTGCTACTAAGAATCAGATGACTTTACATCTTGCTATTTCTGAACAATCTCAGTATTATTTTCCATTTAAGTCTTTTTTTCTTATGTGCTGCTCACAAGGCACTTTCTAGCCTCCTACACTTCTGGGACATACCACAGTCCTTAGCTAGCATAGATCAATTGCAGTCCTGAAGCTATGTTTACAGACAGAGTGACAACAACAGACATTTTTCTGTTGTTGACTGTTGTCAAATGTAGCAATCTATATATTTGAATAGCTTTAAACAAAAGTAGCAAATTAAACATTCAATTTTTGTTCATTTTGGACAATTACTATGTGGTATTCTGTTGCCCATTCAGTATCAGAAAGACAAAATAAAAGTAGTCGAACTCGGCCTCTCATTTTCCAATTTTCAGAGGAAACATCCTTTGCATATCTGAACCAGCATCCACAAGAGCAGCAGCCAAGCTGCATGCTCAGGGCCGCTGTTATTCTCAGTCAGGTGTGCTGGGGGCCAGGCCAATGCAGCCGTTCTTGCCCTTTACTACAGCTGATGCAGCAAATCATGCTAGACTGAAAATAGAGCTAAATCCCTTCCCCTGAAAACACCTCATTTAGTTGGTCTGCTAGATGGCTGGACACAGCCATTTTGAAAGCTAGAATTGGTCTTCAGGCTGTTAGCTGGCCACCACTGATCTCCAATGTTCCTTAAAATATTGCAAAATATTTTTATGTTATATTGGTATGCAGCATGCCAAAAACAATGCACACGTGGTAGCTATTACTCAGAACCATCACTTAAGTGTGGCGATTTATTATGACAACTTATTTGACACACAATAACTTTGGCTATATGCTCTTAAATATTCTTATGCTCCATTTTGTGCTGACCTAAGTGGCCCAGCCCAAGCCCTACTCTTCCTCTTCCATCCTGCTGCACGTTTCCAACCTAAAAGCTATAGCAGGGCCTCTGCTCGTGCAATGGAGAAGGACTGTAGCAAAAGCAGGTAGCAGCTGGCAGTAAGAAGAAAATCTTGACGGCTCCAGCTCTGGTTTGTGCTGCATGCTCTGCCACCAACGTGAATTGCCCCAGGCACAAATCCTGGCCTGACAGTGAGCTCAGCTCAGACGGGGAGCAACAAATAATAAAAAGCAAAAAACAGTTGACTTGCATCTCCCTAAAAATTTCCTGAATTCTTATTCGCTTAAAAGCCTTAACAGTATTGTAGCACGTGACGGTATATAACAACATTGTTTATGGTTCAGGATCATGAACAGATTCATGTGATAGTGCTCGAACAATCTGGAATTAATACTAGATTCTGGTACACTTGACTGTTGAGAGTTATGGAAATGTTTAACATTGTCCGGACAATCTTTATTTGTTAAATCTCATTGTTATGTATGAAGCCTTCTCTCTTACTGCACACTCCAAAAAAGTCAATGGGATTCTTTTCATTGATTTCAAGGGAGTTTTAATTAGGCTACTGGTCACATAAACAACTTCTCAGATTACACCAACTGAATTTAAGCTCAGGACTTGCAGATTCCCATTCTTCCTGTCTTTTCAATGATTAGCATTTTAGACTTACCGCTTAAAGATACATCGTCTTGGGATAACATAGTTAACCTGAAGGGTTGTATACACGTTTCATTTTCTATACAAATGAATACTTTAAGAGGAAAGGCCAAAAATAACCTGCACATAAACTTGCTGAAGTCAGTAAACAAATTTGTTAAAACTGATCTTATATATCTGAGCTTCTTTTAAATCCAGCAATATAAAACAAAATAGCGCTATACAAACACTTGCACAGAAAGCATGAGTACTGCCTAAATGCTACCTCCAAATTTTATTCTGGAAGTCCATGAACAGCTGCCATTTTGACTTCTACAGCTTTTTCTCCCCACTCCGCTGCCTTTTTCTGTTGTTGACTGTGAGAAGACAACACTTGGACATATCTCTTTGCCTGGATACGTTGGATAGAATGAGAGTGCTACAAGCAACACCAGTTTCATTTTTATTTAGTGGCTTTAGTTTGTCACTGTGTAAAACAGTATAATCATACTTGCTTCTGAATGCTGATACAAATTTAGAATGCCTGAGCATTTCCGAAAGACACCGTAAACCTTAATTTCCATCCATATTTTGTGGTCTTAAAGCAGTCCTGTAAGTATTCAGAATCTTGGAGAAAGGTTTCAATTTGCAGACCAAGCCTACCATGCCAGTTTTGTCCAGTTATTGCAAGTCCAATTTAAAGCGCAATGAAAACAATCGCAAGAGAGATTTCCATTGAAAACATGAGGTTTTTAGGTTAAAACCTTTGAGTATTAAGAATCCACACTGGGCCATGCACAGAAATCTTTTTATATGGTGATTTTCAAGATGCATGCATTATTGTGAGCACATGGTATGTAAATGCATTGGGCTGCTTAATAAGCATTCACTGACACACATCTGCAGCTTTGCTAATGTACCTTTTATTCGTATGTGGTTGCCAAGGAAACAGGTTATGGCCCAGTATTCTACCCAAAATATACTGAGCGAGTGTTCTATGATAATTTACTTAAAATAGGTACAACTTAGATTTTGTAGCCCATCGCTTCTGTAAATCTAGGTAACCTGAATTTATCTAATTTTAATGTTTCGCTGATCAGTTTAAACCATCGATGCCATCTTATTGTCTCTGAAAATCCATTACCATTTTCTACATCATACAATATTGTGTATTAAAAGTAAACTTGACTACAGAAAATGTTTTGAGATATTCTAGGAACTGAAGAGGTTTTTTGGTTTGTTTTTTTCAATTTGGTTGCTTATCTTACATTTTGCCTGGTAGCCTTAATTACTTATTTCTACTTAGGAGATATCACAGCATTAATAACTATGATGCAACAAACCATTTCCTACAGAAATTTGTGCAAATAGTGCCACTGAAATCAATGAAATTACTCCCCTTCTATAACGCAGATTATACTCTATGATACAAAGAACCACGTTCAAAATTAATGAATTAATCAGGATTTCACCGATTCTTTCATCCAATACATACATATCTCGAATCTAAAGCACAGATACCAGACATATTTATTTTAACCAAGATGAGCATTTTGGTTAATTGCACATTCACAGTAAGAAGAAAGGAAACTGCTAATATTTGAAAAAGCCATGCAAAATGTGAAACTCCTATTTTGAAATATCCTGATTATTTATGCCAATACTATATTTGAATTTACAAAGTGCTCTTTGCAGCTCACGATTCAAGAGGTTTTTTACTACCCCTGATTACAGTCATGTATAAAGGTAGAGATTAGCCAGTTTTAGATGAGAGCTTAACCAAAACAACAATATTAGAAATGGGCATTGGCACTAAGAGAGTTCCTCTACCTTTATTGTATGGCACAGATTTGTAATGAACGCTAGTGACTGGGATCCAGAGTTGACATTCTGCCAAGCTCAGGAGGTTTGCTTGCCTGCCAATATGTTTGGTTTGTACAGATCATTGGAGGCTGTAACAACCTGTTTCAAAGATCTGTTCTGCCTGATTTTGTTTGTCCGACCTCTATGGCAATAAAAATCCAGCAGGAGCTGGAAAAATCCAACAGTATTGACATGAGAATAGAGCAATGCGGTACCATAGCAAGAATGACTCTTAAATGATTATGAAAAAGGTAGAACTTTAACTAAAGAAAAACAAAAAACCTCCATGTAATAACAGCGGTTTTAAAGTGTTAAATATTTTAGCACTATTTCTATGTGAGTTTTAAAGATATTTCAGCTTGCTATAATCACCCCATAAATTTACCCACCTAAAATCAGGTTGTTCTTCTGTTAGAGTCTTTTAAAAGTGGTATCGACTGGTATTTTCGGCAAAACCATCTCAGTAATTTTGTGAACTCTGTGGCTACTGTGTATCAGCCTGCAAAGGGGAAAATCCAAATTTAATGACTAAATTATTAGACAGGTACTGATTTCCAGATACATTGTGTAAATCATCTAATTTTTCTCTGGAATACTGTAGGACTCCAAATCTATATCTGGGAGGCTTACAACATACCAGCAATAAAACAGTACTGTTAACCAAACTATTGTGAACACTGCTTCTGCTTGCATTGTTTTATTAAGGTTTAACCTGCGTAGTGCAAACTGGACGTAATGTTTCATAATATGTTCTAGACAGCAATGTAAGGATGTTTTCAAGTTTAAAATAAATCATTGGGATCACTAGAAAAATAAGATGAAAAACAATCCTTGGCTCTACTTCCCTTCCCCCGTCTCAACTATGTCCAGATTATTCCTCACACATTTACCTAATAAGACACCAAATAATGGAGGCTTCACAGCTTCCTCAGTTAGCCTGGTCCTGAGTTTCACAAGGTAAAGTCCGGGGAAAACAAGTGTATTTTAAGATTAGCTTCACAGTTTGCCAGTGTAGAAAACAAATCACGGTACAGGGAGAAACAGTCATCGTTACTAGTCAGCTCCCTTGACTCTACATAAACTGCTGAAACCAATTACAAGTTATCCTTTATCTTAAAAGCCTCCATGGTTTTTTGCAGTCTTTCAAAAGGCCTTTTTCTTTCTCTTCTTTCCATTCTGCCAACTTTTCTTTTGGTCTCTTTTGTGTCAGATAACGTCACAGTATCTCTGATAATGACATTTCTAGGCAACTCTTGTTCTCTGGAATACTCTTCCTGTATCTCTCTGCTTAAATGATTATTCATCGTTGTCAACCATCCTGATTTTTTGTTATTATGTATCAAATGTCCTAATAAGGTTATCATGTAATAGTGTAAGAAGTGTTCAGAACAGGGCTTTGTTTCAAAGATACTAAACAGAATTAAATTGTTCCATAGAGCAACTGCAAAATCTTACAGATAAGGCCTTATGACTCAGCTAATAGGCATTTATATAGCAGCAATTAAGAATACATAGATCCATCTTCCATTTGCAAATATACCACATACTTTTATAAATAACATTATACAGGAACTACAGGATCCATTACTTCGGCTTTAAAAGGTAAGAAGGCGAGCTAATTTTTTTTTGTTGGTTTAGCCGAGTACATTTTTAGTCTTATCTTGATTTGAATAAGTATTCTGTAGCTCACATCTGCCCGTAGCAAAGGCCGGAATGAAAGAAAATTGCATTAAGCCATTGTTATTATTTCAAATACCAATAAAATCATATTCGCAAATGACTGTGAAATATTATGGAGAATGGGAAGCTTAAACATCACATTTGGAGGAATCCAGCAGTAAAAGATCTTATCAAAGCTAAAGAATTCCCAAATTTGATAATACTAGGATTCAAATGTAATATGATACATAATAAAGCCCTTTTAAAACATAATAAAGCAATTCACATGACAAAGTACAACAGACACTAGATGCCCCAAAAGGGTTAATTGGTACCTGTTCATTACTACCAGAGTCTGTCTAATAGTCTGAGAAGTATTATCTGAACACAGATAGTTTGACACTGAGACCACTGCATTTTCAAATCAAAATGAAGTTTAGAGGCAAAAGTAACCTTAATCAGAAAGGTCACTGAAAAGCAACTAGGGTAGTGTCTGAGTGAATGATTTTTAGTTTTATTACTACTCATGCTTTGTATAGATTTTCTGTTGGGCAGAAATGGAATTTGCATGGATAAAAGAACACATTTCAATTATAAAAGGGAGGACTGAGTACCAACAATTAGAGTTCTATGATAAAACTGAAAAAAACCCGAAGGGCCCCCCCCTCCACCCCCCCCAATAACATTTGCAGGCTGTGCCGGAGGTGTGAAAAACTGCACCTGCTCCTACGTGCCCCGGTTAGCCCCCTTAGCCAAAGAGAATAAAATGGATGAAGTTGACACAAGATTTCTTACAGCACCTCTGGCTATAACATTCTGACACTCTGCATTAGCTAGATCCAACTACCATTAAAATACGTACAGCAACCCACGTATAATAGTCAAACTGGAAACAGCTTGCTAATTACTAGACTCCTCCTTAATAAATAAATCGGTTTCTTTAGCTAGAAGAAATTGCCGTTCACAGGCTGCCAATGAGTTTTTCCAGACTCATGAAAGCACTTGAGTTCAGTCATATTAATTACAAGAGGACTTGCACCCCCTAACAAAAGAGCAAATTTGCAAATGGATTTAAAACAACCATTGCGAAGCATGATCACGTAACGGAGCTACACTTTTTTTAAATGCCTTGAGTGGGTCTGTTTGAACACAAAGACGTAATAAAAACAGTTTATCGCTAAGTGCCCCATCTTTTCTAAAGATAAATATCAGCGGCAATAAATAGATTGCTTCTACATAGCATTTGCTCAGCAACTTCCTTTAAAAATAACCACACAAGAAATAAACAAAGAAATGCAATTTTGATAACTACATGTAATGGCGCACTCCATATTAACATTTCAGACAGGAAAACAATCAGCAGAAGCAAGCTACTGGAGGTAAATCAAATTACAAAAAAATGCAAACTTTAATATGTCACTTGAGACATGCTGTTTATTACGTTTTCGGTTCTGCTGCTTTAGGTGGAACAGGGGAATATAGCACTGCGTCAAACTAATCTCGTAATTATGAATCAAATGGTTTTATTATCATTATTAAGCATTGGCCTATCAAGACAGATGACAAGTCATAATCCTGAACAGTTATACTCCGTTTATGTGGAATGCACTGAACTGATATATTTAGAAATAAATGAGAATTAGTTTGATATTGCTGACGCTGTCAAGGCTATTACTGATAATTGGCTGTGCTTCTAAATACCTCCTCTGCATCAATTTTCAGTGCTGGGTCCTCATCCACACAAAATATACTTAGTTATTTTAAAGTCAAGGACAGGAAAGGAAAATGGCTACCCTGCTGCAAAAGTCTCATTGCAGTAGTGAGAATGTCTCAAGTCATGTACAAAGGAGATTCACAAGGAGATACACTACGTTATAAGCTCAGTGGAGACATTTAGTAACATCTGATTCTGTATAAGCAGTTACCTGTGGTACACGTAAGATTTAACTTTACCGATACTGTTAAAAATATTAGCTAAAAATAGAAATAAGAAATTACAATACTTAAATTTTGCAAAATCTATAAGGTCTGCAAGTTACCGCAGACCACAAGTGAGCTTATTCTATGAAGGCTTGTTTAAGATCCGACAGAAGTTCTTTTCCAGTATGCTTAAACACAGTTCCTTACCCCAACTTCAGAATGGGTCCACTATTTAAAGAAAGGCTTATTAGCATTACTGTGGCTGAATTCAGCAAAGGTGAAAGAAGGTTTAAACATACTTCTGATTCTCTACATTTCTCAGCTCCTAAATATTTTAGTGATACTTTTATACCTGTGATAATGAAACTATCACTTTATATACTCACAGTACAAGCCTTGACCTACATGCAAGACTAGGCTAAATTAAAAAAAGAACCCAGGGTACGTTTCTGGAAACAACCAATGCAAAGCAGGAATAAAACAGTTTTTTGTTGTGTACAGCTTTATAAACATGGCATCGTTTAAGAAATGATAGCCGCATGGAAACATAAAATGAGATCAGAGTCTCGTTTAGAACTGAAAGGAAACAACTGCAAAATTTCCATTTGCATTGTGATATTGCAATTAAAGAGAGTAACATCTTTCTGCATCTCTACTATTGCACCTTTTAAAAGGATTTGGTTGCCAAGGAAACTGGTTCTGGCCCAGTATTAATCTGAAACAAATATATTACAAAAGTTGGTGTGAGTAATACAATACTCATAAGTCTTTTTATTCTTAATGCTCAAATTCAGGTTTTTGTACCTAAGGCTGTTAAGTTTTTATTTCATAACCCTTTTTGTGTGAAGTAAAACACACTTCAGTAAACTGATACTCAGTTTAAGCTGACAGGGCCACCTATATCAATCTCTCTCTTTAAAGTCCTTCTACCTTAAAATAAAAAGAAATACTGCAGGTTTATGTTTGTAGCTAATACTGAAAATACAAGCATTAAAGCATATTAATCTTTATTTAAGATTTCGCACAAAACACAAAACCGCTTACGACAGAATTTAAATATTTTTCATTTTTCTTATCTACCTCAATTTTTATTTTTGCATTTTAACTGCAAGCTTAGTAATGCTTATAGTCAGCTTTAAAATGTAACTGAATCAATAGGGTTTTCAAAAATTCTTTTGTTGCATAAGCGTTGCCACGCCCTTAGTACATATGATTATTTTAACAGACATGATTGCTCTACTTTCACAGCAGATTTTTTAAAAACAGATAAGAACAATTGTCATGCCAGTATGTGAAGCCAACAATTTAATATTAGGTTGTTTTCATTAACAGTTGAATGCATTTTTTAACTGAAAGCTACATTCCAAAGCCCATTTCATGTTCTTGCAACACTGACCAAGAAATCAGTAAAACATGCAAATCTCAACCTACCTGCGTGTACCACTTAGTGCAGTGTTAGCATGGCAATGCACCAGCCATTTTTATGTAAAGCGATGGAGATAAGTTCTATTCTTGGTCTTCTTGATAATTTTTTAGAAGCAGTTGTCAAAAATCAGATGGGAAGCAGCTTGAATAGACCGTGATCAGGAGAACCGAGTTTATCAACAGGGAAAGCAGGAGTGGGGAAAAAAAAATGTCCTCATCCAAGGTTTTCCGAAACTGCAACACAAGGTTGGTTTTTTTTTTTCTCCTCCTCAGAGCGTTCAAAGCTTGAAGCTGACCACTGCAAAGGCCACTTGTCACATTTACTGAAAATCAGCCTATTGATATCACAGCTGAAAATATAAACTCGACAACCAAAGCCCATTGCACAACGTGGACTGCGTAAGAGTTAAAAATAGATTCGACGTGCCTCCTACCTGCATAATAAATATGTAAGTTTCAAGTGCTTTAATTCGATATTCACATTAATTAACAATACAATATACATTATTTAAACTACAGTAAATGCAAGAAGAAAAAGGGTGACACCATCTCGAAGCACAGTTTGCTTTTTTTTTTTTTTTTCCCTTTCCAAGGGCTAATAATGTAGTTTGAATGTGATGACAAGCTAACAGCTCACCACATTGCAAATGAAAAAAGAATTCTTAAGGTGATGCTCAAATATCTAAGCCTGTAATGAAGCACAAACCAGTCTTCACTACTGCATGACATGGCACACAGACCATTTACATACTCACATTTGAGATACTAGGCACAGTATAATGAATTCAATACACAGCATGCACACAGCACAAGCAACGTTAATCCTGCCTGCCATTTTAGGCTTGCAGGAGTAAGATACATACTGCAGCACAGCTCTGGTAAGGGAGGAGGCAAGGGACAGCTCACCTTAAATGCAGTATCTGATTAATGTTGTAAGTGACATTGCGTATCAGCTACAGAGTCTTGGTTCAACTGGGTGGGAGGGAACAAAGAAAATTGTCATCAACTGGTGATGCAAGATGAGCTCCAGTCACTAACACTGTTAGCAAACTCCAAATTCTACAATGATACAGTAGTAGGCATTTCAAACTCTTATCAAAATCTGCCTGTGCAATGGCTGAGTCCGCCTGCCGAGGAAAACAAAACAATCTTCTTGCTTATTGGAGAAACGCTGGATTGACTACAGTAACATCCTCTTGCTGCAGAAAGATTTCACGTCGCACATGTTAAATCCTGGATGCATTTGCTGTGCTTTCCTAATTTTTAAGTCTCAGAATTAAAAAATAAAATAAAAAGACAATAACAGCAAAAATAGCATAACTAAAGGTCTAATGTTCATACAAATAAAACGTTTCTTTTTCTTTCCTTTCTGTTTTCTCTCTTTTACAGTCCGTCAAAATCCTGAGCAGTATTGACAAACCACACGAGCACAGGGTCTGACTGCATGATCAGCTGTCTGTGTCTACGCTACACCCTGTTAACCACAAGCAGTGTTAGAGCTAAATATATCTGCAATGCAGAAACGGTAGGTGCTATGTGGTATACAATTCTGATTAATTATAAAATATTTTTCTATCCTCAGATGTAATAAATAAAAGAAAATTTGGTGCCGATCTCTGTCAGGCACGGTATCTGTTAGACTTACCGAACATAAAAGCTATCCTAAGTATACTGACCTAGATAGCACTAAGAAGACTTAAGCAGCGTACAAGCATACTCACTGTCAAAGCAAGGAAAACGAAACAATGATTGTCTAATCAAACTGAAAGCAACAACTCACTACCACAGTATGAATTCCAAAATGCTACGTACTGTATATGCACATCTCATGTTATTGGAAGATGCAAAGCTCCTTTGTTTTTTTTTCTCAGAGGCTTTTCTTAGCTACGGTTGCACAATGACATTCTGACATCATGGAGGTCAATGCAGATACTAAAGTGCTGTCGTCTTTAAGGGAAAAAAAAATTTTATTATTATTATTATTATTATTTTTGCAGCTGTGGTTTAATAATTAAAAATTTCACATCACCTACTTAACATCTTTCTGTTATCTTCCGAGAATAATAGCATGCACATTGTTCAGCCGCATACGTTAAATTGGTATCACCCTCTGCAGAGACTGCAAGGTAATTATGGGAATTAGATTTTTATAAATGTTAAAAAAGGCTTATTTTCTGCAAAACTTCAAAATACAATCAAATATTTTGCATATATAATGAAAAATATACAGAGAAAAAAGCATTAAAAACTGCTAATCTGTTTTTTTTTTAAATGCCTAATAAGCAAAACTGGTTTTATTTTCATTGTCACTGTGTCTCCAAGGGGCGAATGAGAACCATGCGGCAGTTTACTATAACCTGAATTACCTTCCCAGAAGGCTAAACCATCAGGTGAGGTAAAACAAACCGTAAGATCTACCTGTTCAGAGAGCAGAACCCCCCACACACTATTTCAGTGACTTCTCACAGCTTCCTATCTCTCTACCCGCAAATACCGCAAGCTGATACCCAACACATGAACAGCATTGTGAAGATGAACATGTTAGCTCGGAAAATATTTCACTGAAAGATTTCTTTAGGTAAATATTGTTTACCCTATGTATAAGTGAATATAAATGGTTTCTGGCCAACTGCTGAAATAAATAGATCCTTGTGAGGCCAGATCTGTACAGAGAAGCGCTATCTTTCATTCGACCTGCCAATACAGCTGAGAAAGCAAGCAGCCAAATTTTCAGCCACATATTCTTCCTCTAGGAACCTGTGTACCCTATGATTTTTTTTTCTAAAAGAGCACCTGTTTTTAAAAGTGAAAACTAATACCAAGTATTGTGTGAAATCAGAAAATGTTGCACAGCAACAACTAGACTGCTGTATGTACGTATTCACTTCTTGTAAAAATTAGACAATCTGATTTTGCTTTTTTCCCTTCTTCTTTCTTTTTTAATGATTAAATAGGTATCTATTTAATTTGGAGGTTTTTCTTTGGGAAGTTATTTGGCATTTTGTTCTCTTTCATTTTAAAGGCTGGGAATGAGATGATCCTAACAGTCAGTGCTTTAAAATATTCAGAATCCCCTTCCATAAATAGCACATCTGTCACACAGAAAGGGAACCCAGCCAGCAGAAAGGCAGACCAGACCAGCAAAACCAACTGCTATTCCAATACACGATTACAAAATAAGTTCGGATTTTAGCAACCCTTTATTTGGATTTTCTTCGGTTTGTTTTGAGCTTTTTGAACTAAGAGCCATCTGATTATGTACATGCCACCATATATCAACTTTAAATTAAGAATGTTAAATATGGATTCATTTTGATGAACATTTTTTTTTAATGTTCATCTCTTAGTCAAATGTGTACTATCAAGCTAGTCATGCCCCGTTTTAAACCATGGCAAAGCTCCTGTGGATTTCAAGAAGGGAAGATCTGGGCCTTATATAGCAGTCTGTTAGGTTTATGAGAAAGTGTGATATTACACTTTTGGAACCAAGTGATAGGTTTGTTTAAAGACAACGATTTTCAGCAAAAGACAGATTTCAGTGGAGTCTCACAACAAATATATCCGTTCCTGCATTCTTGAGGTTAGCATTCTCATTCTCCCAGAGAAGTCCTGTTCTGGGAGAGACACAGCAAGGTGTTTTGGGTTGTGTGATTTAGGAAATATTAAAAGCCTGCTGGCAGTGAACGCAGCAGAGGAATAAACATCTCACAATGAATAGGGGAGTGAGCTTGTCCAAATCTTTATGCATACCTCTTGCTTTAATACGTCATTTTCACTGCTTAGTAATAATTTTCCAGGCTTAGATTTGCAATGATTTTGCTTCAGACTCAACATAACTTCATTTCAGAAATCAGATTCAGGGCCCTTCTACAGCTGCGGGATACATGGCATAGGAAATAAATGAATTTAAAAAATTGCACTTGTAGGTTGCACAAAATAGGCCCAAATTTTCAAGGTAGAGATGTATTCACTCTGTATGGTATTTCTCAGTCAGAAACTCGGATTTAAGCTCTAACCTGATTTGTGCCAAAATTCTTATAGTTCCAAGGCACTGGCTTTCCTGATTCTCGACTACAAAATTCCCTGCCTCTGCTGGGTCAGGACTATCTCAGCCCACGCTGTAAGCTTGTCTCAGTTCTTCATTCCATCAGCTTAAAGTGAGGCTATTTCAAGTATCCTCACGGGATCTCGCAGGCCGTTTGCGCTGTAACCTTTCCCGCTTTCAAGCTTCCTACTTGTAAATATACTTCCTCTTCCTCTATTTGTCACCACTCGAGGGCAACAACATCTAATCTCTCCTCACATACTGTAGCTTATCAAAATTGGTGAGGAATGAGGAGTCCCAATGTCACTTTGTATTGCAGCCTCCACCTTGTGGTATATAGCTTCTTAGCGGAAAAGTCCTAGTCCTCCAGACTGATCATTTGGAGAGCAGAAGCCAAAGGAGATGGGGTGTGGAAAGAACAACTCACATAAAGTCCCTAAAACTGTACTGATTTTTGTCTGAAAGTATTGCCACACCTTGTAATCCTAAGAAGGAAATACATGAGGGCAGTCTGGTAGACTGGGACCTCTGCCAAGGACCAACCTTGTAGCAGTAAATGTCTGGAAGACTAGCAGACTTGGAGAAAAAAGTGACAAACACTTTCAGTTTTATATGGATCAGCTCACTTCTGTCTTTATTAACATGGGCCCAAGCTGGACCAAGAGAATAAATTGTCCCTCTAGCTATAGAGGACACCCTGGATGTGGGAGTTATGCTTAATAATATACAAATGAATGAACAGCCATACATCCGCTTGGGTTCATTCCCACCTCAGTACTTATTTGTCAAGTAAACGAGCAACATACAGAAAACAAAGGATAGAATCAATCCCAGCCCTCAAGAAACTGTAGTCAACTGTTCTTGTGTCCCTGCAAAGCAATGACAAGGGGACATGAAGCACAGCTGGGAATCCAGGGTGGGTGTTTCCAAAAGTGCATACCAGGACCAGCTACAGCCTTTCAACAAACCTGCTCTTGGAATGACTGTTTCAGCCTCTGAATTTAGCTGCATCAATTATATTTGTCTCTTCATTCCACTAGTGCCATTGCAAAAAACACCTTATTGATGAATACTCACTTTGAAATTAGAGTTATTTTGGAAAAGAAAAAACACACCCTTGATCATGAACTAAATTCTCTAACACTCACATTCAGGAAAGCATCCATATACCCAGACATTCAGGCTAGCAATGAACTCGCTGGTCAAATGCCTTCCGTCCAAAATCTTACTGCTCACTACGTGACTTAGAAGCTACTTCCTTCAGTAGTGAAACCTCAACTAGTTGGTTTTGGGCTGTAGAAAATAAAGGGGGGGAGGGAAGGAGAAAAAGGACTGATGACAGAACCTCAACAGTTTGCCTTTCTAGAGGCAAAGTAAAGCACTGATCCAGCTAACATGCCCTGGACCTCCATTGATGTACACATCTAGCTCAAGTTGCCCCAGGGATACAGACTAAATCAGTTGCGTGTTGACAGTTTTCCCAGGCTTTCCCACAATTCCTTTTGCGTCTCTGTATGGCTAAACAAATCCTTTCATTATTTGCTGGGACAGAAAACAGTTGTTCTTAGTTATTCCTATACATGATTTAGAGACCTTCATTCTTAATTGCCACACACATAAACAGGCCATCGAAAATAATATCTAAGTGGTCTACAATGCAAGTTCAAACTCCCGCTATTCCTGTTAGATGGGGATGTCTTTCAGCACTACTGAATTAAAAGCAGAGCAGCATTTAAAGGCAATTCTTCTTATAAAAGGCAAATACAGAGCTTCTATGAAAATAGCAAATATCTGAATATTATTAAATGTATTCTGATATACTGCATTGTATCAATTTGTTATGAATCTGCATTATGAAAAAGCATGGGCTTGCCTAAACTGAAGAATCACAGACAAGTCATGTATTAAGATATATTGAGGTGCTGTATATGCTTTTTTGAGAAACGCTTCTAACAGCCACTTACAGCCTAGTACTCGACAAACTATAGAATCTTTAAGGGTTAGAACACCTGGGATTCACTGTAAACAAATGGCAAAGAAAATGTCTTTAAAAACTGTAAATCCATCCCTAGAATCTGAAGAAAGTGACGCCTTTATAGATATTTGCACTCACCTTTACAGGTTGTATTTCTGTACTTTCTGTGTAACGTGTCACTCAAAATAGTTAGCAATAACAAGTGGCTTTGTCGTGCTTTTCCTCTGAATAGTGCTTTAATTACTGATGAGCATGGTCTCTCCCTCTAATTATACCTCCTAAGGCCCTATTTGCTTTCTAAACTGCTGCCAGACACTATGCCAAAGGTTTCAAATTTCTGTCTCCTATCACTCCTAGCTAATTTACCTGATTAGTGAATTCAGGTATTGTATTTTTACTCTGTTCTTAGCAATCTTATTTTTCTCTGTACTAAATGGCACAACTTGCTTGACGCCCATACCTACGCTTTTCCTGTGCTTCCCTCATGTTGAGCGGCACTTCCATGTTCACATCACCTATTTCTTCTCCTCCGGTTTTAAGGGGCAGACTTTTCATTTAGAGAGTAAGAGACTCAAAGATTTGATACGGAGAGAGGCTTCACTTAGTCACATAACATCCTGGAGAGAGATACAGGCATTTTGGCCAAATCGTTCTTATTACTACTAGACAGTAGACAAGAAGGGCAATAAGAATTAGGTTGAAAAAAAGGAAGTTTCTCAGAGCAGTCAACATAAAATCTATTCTTTGCAAAAGAAAGCTCAGCCATTTTACATCTTCTTAAAAGTAAATCAGCAGAAAATTTCCTTTCATAAACTCCTGATTAAAGTTACTTCTGAAACATACGACTTTAAGCAGGATCAGTTTTGTGGACACGGTCTCTCTCAATTATTGATCTTTTTTTTTCCCCATAAAGTTTGAGTAGGGACTATTCCGCTATTTTGAAGAACAGACAGGATGAGAATAACACACATTTCTCATTATTAAAAATATTAAGAAATCAATTTTGAATAATACAAGTATCAGAACAAGCAGGGGTAGGAAGCTGAAGTATGTCAGCAGAAGAGAAAATGTATTGGAAGCTCCAAGAAAACTGTTTAGCATTTGATAAAATCAAATGTCACATAATAGGAGAGAGAAATCTCACTTCCTAAACCCATGTGTGTAGATGACTGTCCCACAGCTCCAGTCTAACAAATATACAACCAAAGCAACAAAAAAATCCGTTTCAAGCTTACTTGCTCAAGCTCAGCTATCCATTATGCTGCTAAGTATGGGCTGCTCTTTGAGGCCAGTAGATCTGCTCAAACCGTTTCTCCCAACCAGTCCAGTTGTGAAGCTTGTTCCTTCGTTTTTCATCTGCTCCTGACAAATGGGAGGGCAGTTCTAAGCCTTTGTCTTCCAACTGTTAACCTGGTATGTGTAACCAAAACCCAAGAGCGTTAACTATGAACCCCAGACTACTGATCTTTTCCTCCGATGCTATAGATTGAGATTTGTCTACTGCCACTCTTACACTGCCGTCATTTCCACGGTTAAGGACTATTTATATTCCCAGCTAGACACATACCTCATTTTAAGAAAGCTGTTCTACAAATCGCAGCTCCCTGAAGTCTGAACTAGTTCAGCCAGAACTGAGGTC